ATTTCGTTAAGAGTTGTCCTACAACCTCTGCTTAGTTATAAATCTCTTAGATGCATGATAGAGCCTTAAAAACGCAAAGAAAATCCAGCAATGTTTCCTCGAGCGCTCCTCGTAGGTAGCAAAGGGATCATGGCGGCGGAGTGGTTGAACCCTCTCTCTCACCGCTCCCGGCGCGAACTTCATGCTTATGCTCCTTCTGCTGCTTACCAGGAAAAAAATTTTCTTTACGTTTGGCGAATTTCCTACGCCGTACACAAGCTGAGAAAATGAAGGACGGATTTTTTTCGATATAAAATCGTGTTTTCCCATAAAGTTTCTAACAAAAGTGACTTTAGCCACTCTTATTTACTTTGCTTCACTAAAACCTCCTTTTTTTTGTTTTTCCATTAAAAACCGGTTTATCGCACCTGTTCGATTTCTTTGCGATAAGGTTTTTTTTTCAAAGTATTTTTTTAAACTAATATTCTTATCTGAATTCTCACGTTGAATAACCAGCCAGTTTATTTTTTTCGATCTGAACATTCTCAGCCTGTACTCACACTAAAATTTGGTTTTTTAGAGCTGTTCCGATGATAGAATCCAAAGAACCTTTTTTACCCGCAGTTTGGGGCAATTTGATATGATGTTAAGTGATACATTTGGTATTTTTTTTGCTTGTTAACGATTGTCTTAGGATTTAGTAAGGAAAGCGAACTATTAAACTCCGTTTACTACCAAAGCGTGTTTTTCAGCCTTTCTAAACCATATATTACCAATAATAAAAAGACAGTAAAATTCATAAAAACACCAGAAACTTAAACTATGCTTATACACTTAACTCTAAGACATAAAAATTTACCGATCCATTATCATATCAATTGGCATATACTGTGGGAACTTTGCATAGCCAGTTTGTTGCATATATCTTGATTGTTCAGTGAATTCCTACGCCACGAGTATGTGCATACCTATACTACTACGTATTCTAAACGAAATACCTAAGTATGTACTCTATAACTGTACACACAGAAAGTAGTGGGAACGAAACTAATTAACAAGTTGGTCTCCACATCGCTCGGAGATTTTGTTAACTAAACAGTTATTTTTGTTCAACTTCACCGCGCCTTCCGAAGTACTTACGCACTTTACCCGCCAAAGGGAAGTTTGTATTTACTTATTGGTTAACAGAACTAACGTTATTTCCTTGGTTGCGATTATTACCTTTATTTCTGGATTTCAGATTTCTGGTCACCTGTATGACAATGACATAACTGATGCTAGTGTTTTTAGCTACTTCAAACATCACAAATGCCAAATACTTTGAACTGCTTTTATTGTCTCCTATTAACTATCTAAAGTAACAGTATATAATATAAGGTTATTTAAGTAAATAGAGACTACTGAAGAAACTATAACGAGCGAAACTATTTTCTTTAAGCTATTAATTTGTCAACTGGTACATGTAGCAAATAACTTTGATGTTTCCAGAACCTCGTTACACTAAGCGTATGGGCAAACAGTAGCAGAATCTTCCAGACGAATTCACAAAGTTTATATCAACTAAAAGTTTATTTAAGCAAGTCTCGGTGGAAAGTGTATTTAACTTATGATTAAAATCCGTACCTCTTTTTAGGTGCATGCGAAAGTACTAAGAGGATATGTATTTATGTGCACTTTATAATTTTATTGTAGTAATAATAAAACGATGTTTTTTGTGTTTATATTATCTATCTTATTATAAAGTTAAATTCGCGTCCCGGCGATTAATGATGTGTGACAAAGCTGATACAAACTGAACATTTCAACAGTTAGTGAAACTTTAAATTAACCTTGTTTATTTTAGATTAAATTTTGAAACTTCTTGTATTAATAATCTTTGAGGATACTAAATGGGAATTCTGAGACTGGCATGTTGGTCTAGTGTTCAGAGACCCTGACTGCTAAGCCGGAGGTCATGGGTTCGATTCCCACGTAGGGTAAATAATTATGTAATAAGCATGACTGGGTGTAGTTTCACTATAATATGTACATATGTATTTGGAAATATATAAGAATGTTTATAAGCAACCTGGTTACCATTGTAACGTAAATTGTAGTTTTACTGTCAACTAATTTGTAAAAGTAGTTCTCGAAGCGGGCGAAATAAACTTCTGCCTATAAATAAAAAACGATAAAGAAACAGCCTTGTTTCTTTATCGTTTTTTGAGGAATAATTTGAGCGCCTACTAAAATTATTCCTTGATGTAGGTGGATATGCTGAAATACTGTAGTCTTTCAGATTTTTATTGATGACGGTTGTACCTAATACGTGCGACTAGTTGTAATAACCGGTAGTGATTTTTTCTTGGAAATGTCGTAATATCAATTCAATGAGATGCTGTTCACTCAGAAGGTCAAATTTGCAAACACAGAAAAAATATTAAATTCTAAAAAAGATTACATTTTACCAATTTTTACGGTGGCTTCTAGTCATCAAAATATAATAGCTTTAATCTTCGCAAGGTGTCAGCGGAAATTTTAATTATAACGCTGGAAAAAAGCGATGGCTATGATGACTCTAGTGCCAGCATACAAGAAATGTTCAGAATAGCCACCTTCTACATTTATTTGTCTATATACCAGTTACGAGCCTTGAGGTATTTAATTTTTCTGTTATCATAAATAGTAACTACGCTGTTGGGTGATTAAGTTGGTTTGATTACAAATTATATTAACTACGGAATTACGTCATTGTGAGATAGAGTTGTTTAGTCTGTTGGAAACAACCGTTTGTCAGAAACTGTTTTTTTTTAACTGACACTTTTAAAATAGTACGCCATTTTCATTCAAATTGTTAAAATCTGAATTATTAATTTTAGTAACTCTGCCCATAAATTTAGATAGATTATATTTAATAGCAATGTTATTCGTTTTTTTAATAAATGATTATTACAGACCTACTGTCCTGTATCCAAGGCTTTAAGTTAAACTTCTGTATATTTTTGCGCTATTGGTTGTCTAATTGGAATTATCTCGGTGAAAATTTGAGGCTTTGAATAATGAGTCTCTTTAACGAGCACGGTATGAGAATTGCTTTGACTCGCCCTTAAATGTATTAACCTATTGTAGGCATAATAGTGGGGACTTTAACAGGGGACTGTTACTGTCCAAATTAATATTACAGCTTAGATTCGAAGGTGGGAGCGACTAGAGTAAGGTGATGTACTAAAGTTATAACTGATAATAAAAAATGTACATAATTTTGCTTTTTTGTTTATTTCTTCAAGCCTTATCGAATAGGTTGATAATCACAAAATTTAACATACATCTCAGAGGTTTAGACAACATGATAGGAAATGTACAAAGGTACCGTAACGAGGGAAAGTGTTTCATGTGAAATGTGAAAATGAAGTTTAAAATTCGGTTACCCATTTTGTGTATTCATAAATGTATAAAGTTAGTGTTATATAACACAAACAACTCAAAATTCATTTTTAAAAGACAAATAATTACTTTTTACACTAATAAATTATAACTATAATGTTATACCACATGCATTTCACACACTGGCCTGTCCAAGCACAGCTCACATACATGGGTACTTGACTTTGGTCTCTTCGAGGTATTGCAATCCCAGTCCTGGTTTACCAACACTTAACCAAAACGCTTTTGCATATTGCGTTACCCCTTTTTTGTCTGTGAGGAACTCCCCTCGTGAGCGATCTCTATTGCAGAGATGCGCCTTTTCAGTTATATTTCTGTATCATAAAACAAATAGACTATTAAACATATCCGCTAAATAAGCTAAATTGTAAAAAAGATCTTACGAATTGGTTACAACAACTAACTTATGATGAAACTGAATCTCTAATGGCAATAATAACATAAGGAGCTAAGTCACACTAACACACTTATACACAGAGAGAGAGAGACACACACACATAGACACGCACGTGCGTGTCTATGTGTGTGTGTCTCTCTCTCCGTGTATAAGTGTGTGAGTGTGACTTCAGACTCACAGACAGGCGACGTCAGACTCCACTCGCACTCACGCTGATGCCACCACACATCTTCTCGACACCGGTGTGTGTGTGTGTGTGTGTGCGTGCGTGGCTGTGTAAGTGTATATATGGGTGTGTGTGTATATGTATGTCGCCTTTGTCGCCTTAGCAAGATCTGCTTTGAGGCGGTCTTTCTCCTTCTCGTGGGCCTCATTCTCCGCCACGACGAGTCTCCCCGCCTCAGCCGTAGAGCGTACAGCTGCCATCAGCACCTCCTTTTCGGAGCCTGGGGATTCCAAAGGAATCGACTACGCCAATCGCCTCTTTAATGCGCTCATTTGGGTAACCGACTTTGCGATGTTGCTCCTCCAAGCTACTGGTTTCCGAGGTGGTCGGCTTGTCGGCCGCGACCCTCTCGAAAAGCATATTGAGCAGCAAACCTCTTCGCTGCAGCAGATCCGCCAGCCCGCCTCTCCTTTTGGGCTGGCCGACCAGTTTTGGGAGGTCAGCCTCCACCGCGAGTCCCTCGGAGGCTTGTATCCACTTAAGGTGAGCTGGCCTCATCACTAGAGGGCGACGCCATGGGTCATTGTCCCTTGAGTGCTTTTGAGCACCCTGCTGGAACTGCTCCGTATCCGGAACCAATGGGTTGCTCACACCGCCTCAGGTTTTTGCGCGTCCTTCGCTTGGATTTGGTCGCCAGATTTACTGTTCGGCAACAGGCGGTTTCGACATAGAATGCACTCTTCAGAATACGATTGGGAGCTGCCGGAACCGTTTGACTCCGGGAGGATTCCCCAGACGGAATTTTTGTTTATCCATGTCATGTTTGTAGTTTAATGTCCATCGACGGGATGCCCTCGGCACTGGACTCCCTCTAGACTCAGCCCATTGCCATCAGAGGCATCAGGGCGTGGGCTTGGGGCTTTTTATAGATGTTTTCGTCCTCGCGGTTCTGAAGATCTGCGTAAGTAAAATGTATGTAGTAAATACTGGCAAAAAAGGAGAAAAAAATGTGTAATTTATTTAATAGTAATAGTATCACATCCTGTCCATTACAACTGGTTGTAAAAATAATTGGTCCTTCATCAAAACCATTCCCTCTCCTTCGCCGCATTTGGGGATGTAATCCTTTAGGTTCCACCAGCCCAAGAAATCTTTGATGGAAGAATGTATGTGAGATTCCTCGTTCAGAATCTGACAGAGTTTGCAAACATCTGGACTCCTTCTACTGTCTATATAGTTATAGTAATTGTGCCATCTGAAAAAAAAGGAGGCAATAAAACACCAGTCAAGGTTAAATAGGAATGCTATCGGGAGGATGCCTAACGGACCTAAATATGTAGCTAGTTCATCAGTTTTTGGTACTGATATTATGCCTATGGCTCTTAATATTATACCAGATATTACTGCTGATCAATCGCCCTTTTAACCTTTGCTTTGAATTGCTTGCTTGTTTAACCACCACCACCACCACCAACAGCCTATAACAGTCCACTGCTGGACATAGGCCTCTCCTTAGAAAGGAGGTTTTGGCCTACTATACCACGCTGGCCAAACGGGTTGGTATAGGGTTTGTTTCAAGTTTTCCTTCTCTTAGCAGTGCTGTCGTCCTGCGTAGTTTGCTCCCTTAGTCGGCTCTTACGACGCCCACGGGATGAATAGGGGTGGTGACATTCCGTATTCTTAATCCGTCACCACACGGACAGCTTGTTTAACATTGGGCTTTAATTATCTCTAGTGATAAAAAAAAAAAACACTTATTACCCATTAGCTCGAAAACTAAGCTTAGTTTTTTTTTATGGTATAAGGGGGCAAACGAGCAGACTAAAGCAGGTAAACAACTACCGCCGCCCATGGACACCTGCAACTCAAAAGTGAAAGGTGCGTTGCTGCCCTTGAAGTCCCTGAATATTGGAAATACTGCTTATTACAAGCAGGCATGCATTTGGTTCAAAAAATGTACATGTGTGTGTGTAATTGACAAACTAATTTAGACAAATACACAGGTGCACGCGCCTGTTGGTACGAACCCGAAACTAGTATAACATAAGTCCAAGGTGTGATGGAGTTTGATGTACGACAGTAGACCAAGGACTTTGATGTTTTGAGTCTGGTTTTTTGTTTCCTACTTTAGTGGTTTAAATGTGTATTGTACTGGATATATAGTAATCACCTGAAGTAGTTTTCGTACACAGTTTTGTTTTTTATAGCTTTAACCATTTCGTCAGCAACTTGTGTCGCGTTCAGTTGCCTTGCATCAATGTACGAATTAGGCGGTAAAAACCTGTAAAATTTAAAAAAGTTCAATTTATGACAAATATACGCTCTGGTAGTGTATTTTATTTACTTTATTGCGAAACAATAAGGTGTGGTTAAGATGCAAGAGTCTGATACAGCTATTGATAGCTGTATCAGACTCTTGCATCTTAACTTGGGCTTGGACTTGGGCTGCTGACTCAACTCATGTCTTAGGGCTCAAGCCCAAAGATTGAATATGAAAAAATATTGGATTTACGTAATTTTACGTAATTTAAATTAATTAATTGTAATAATTTAGACTAAAACGTAATTTTATTTTTATTAATAGAGCTAACATGTAGGGACTGTAACAAGTTATTATTATTTTAATGCTGATAGATTTATCTAAAACTATACTACTCATTCTTCTATCAGTATGTCTACGGATTAAGAATACGGAGTGTCACCACCCTTATACATTAATTCATCCTATAGATGTCGTAAGAGCCGACTAAAGGAGAAATCATGCAAGACTACAGCACTGCAAAGAGAAGGAAAACTCGAAACAAGAAAAAACCCACCCGTGTGGCCAGCGTGGTATAGTAGACTAAAACGTTTGTTAGGAGAAGCCTATATCCAGCAGTAGACTATTAAAGGCTATTGATGATGATACTAATCATTTATCTTGCCGTTTAAATCCACTTGAAACTACCCATTAATAATTTGCACAATCACGTTAAATTTAAGATTGATATAAGAGAAAAACACTACTGCCTGTACCACTAAAAAAATCAGAAGAGATATGTTTAAACTCTTACCTAGAATAGTTAGCTCCACCATACACAATTGGGACGGTATGGTATTGCAATGGATGCAAAATAACCTCAGTCACATAATCTTCACTAAAACAATTCTCAAAAGACATATAGAAGTAATAGTCAGACTCCAATAATGACAAACAATCTTCAAATCGGTCTTTGGGACAAGTTTTTTTTCCACACCAGCCAAATATATCAACTACATGTCCACGCTTCTGTAGCTCATTTTGTATGTCTTGAGCAACGGCTCCACGGTTGCTCCTAGTCTCGCAATGGGAAACAAACCACGCAGCAGCCTTCTTTTTATTAGCTATTTTTTCTTTTACTTTCGCAGGAGTAGGTGCCATTGGTTCTATCCAAGTCATATCGACTCGCGGACCTACGATATTGCCTAGCTTATCAATGATTTTAATAAAAGTCCAGGGTATATCCGAATTTAGTTTGTAAGTAATTGTCAAATTGTAATGATTGTTATAATACATATCACAGAGAGGATAGTTTGCAGCAGCCTCGGATGCAACAAATATATACTTCTGAAATGGTTCCCTTAACTTAAGATTTTCGTCCCAGGTATTTTCTACATGAAATAAAATCGCGTCATAGTTCCGTAAATCGAGTAGTAAATCTTTGTTATTTGTAAGGAAACAATTTATATATTTACACTTGTTTTGAATAAACGTTTCTTGCCCGCTAATATCTAATGAAGTCACACGAGTAACAAATGCATCTGTGTATTTTAATATAAATTTAAGATCTGTAGGAAATCTTTTCAGTTTTTTAAAGGAAGAACCTAAGGCTGTCATATTGTTTTTATATAATCTTATAAGTCGCCTTAGATTTTTGGCTTCAATTTGTTCATGGCTCAATATATAAGCTAGTTCTATGTTATTATTACTCGCACTTATTGAAGTTTTAAGATATTGAATGAGAACAAAACTGTACGCGATTAACAGTATGACCTTTATCAACTTGGACATCGTTGTGACCTGTTATAGCACAAACGTAAGTATATAAGAAGATTTGAAGAACAATCTTTGCGTTTGTATACTCTTTTGAAGTGAAAACAAAATGCCACAATACTATGAACAATAGAGACTCTTACGTAAAGTTTGTGGCACGCTCTAAATTGTCACATGCATCAATTATTGTTTACCTGTAAACCAATATTTCTACAACACGTACGCTATTATGAAATTGAGAACTTCGAGACACTAAAAACCTTGGACAAAAGGACCTATAAATGCAATTAAACTGAATTGAAAACTAAATATGAAAATGTCCTTATCTGCGCTAGCGCGCTGCGTATGCTGGTCTCAGCGTCTGATATGCTAATGATAATAAATAGACGAGTGGCGACCTCACTTGCGACAGCTGCCACGGAATTTATTTTAATTGTGGAACGCATATATCGTGCTTTCGGTTTTCAGAATAAAATACCAGATTCCTCGATTTTAGATAGCCACAGTTTATATTATGATTCGTATTACAATTTGAAATCTGTTTTGAGAAAAATCTTATCTCCAGAGTTAGATACCTTACTTACTGATATGCATGTAAATGTGTGTTCGTGAGTTTGTGGGCAGTATGTTTCTTGTATTTAGGTCATTTATTTATTTTTAACTTTTTGCACAAGTACATGCATCGGCGGACTTAATGCCTAAGGCATTCTCTGCCAGTCGACCGATTGGGCGGTGCTGTTTGTTATTTGTAAGGAAACAATTTATATATTTACACTTGTTTTGGATAAACGTTTCTTGCCCGCTAATATCTAATGAAGTCACACGAGTAACAAATGCATCTGTGTATTTTAATATAAATTTAAGATCTGAAGGAAATCTTTTAAGTTTTTTAAAGGAAGAACCTAAGGCTGTATTTATGTATTTATTTATTTTTAACTTTTTGCACAAGTACATGCATCGGCGGACTTAATGCCTAAGGCATTCTCTGCCAGTCGACCGATTGGGCGGTGCTGAGAAAGAATGAGGTAGGTGCATTTATGGTAGGGTATAAACGATAGTGGTTTTGTTAAATACCAACTATCTTGGAATTTGGTGTATACGTCGTAATACCACACACATACACATATATATACATATACATACTCATAAATATAAACATATATATATATACATACACATACACATATATATATGAGACATAAAAAAAAAAAAAATTAGCCGATGAACTAGGAGCTCGTTGAATCTGCCATTTCGCTCAGCAATAGCTCTTTCACTTTCGTCTTAAAAGAGTACCGATTTGTGTGGTCATCGATAGACAGCTTCATTTTTATGTGCCAACAATTTATTACTCATCTTTTATTGAAAGTAGTGTATTAAATTTATATATAATATATATATGTACATAAATGTTAAGTTGGTTTGGGTACGCTCCAACAAACTCACAGTTCTGTATCGATTGATCTCAAATTTTTACAAGACAAACATGCGGTATGTTTGTCTTATAAAAATGTCGAAGATTGTTTTATCTGTTTTTCTCATTCATGCAACTACAATTATTTATAATTATTGGTAATAATAATTGATGTATTCTATATAATTATATTTAAAGACGAACTCAAGTTGTCGCATGTTCAACAGCTGCCGACGATGACAATCCCTGGCTCAGTAGACAACTTGTCCCGGTATTAGCATAACAGAGTGTCCTCAGAGCTCCTTTACATCACAATATATTCCTTGTTTTGTTGTGTGCTGTTGATTTAATATTTGGTGCTAAAGGAACGGAGAGGTGACGCCCTTTGTTTTAGCATGCGCTATATACGAGTACGTGTAAGAATGTTAAGGTTTGTTTGAGTTAATAAATTCATACAGGACAAGCAGAGCTTCTCGCTGAGTTAAAGAACAACTTAGAGTAAGAAAGATAGGATGTATGATGCTGCGTAAACGTTGTATTTGTTAAATTAGGGCATCGTAACAGACATTCAGACAGACATACAAACATCACTTCATACAGCCAATGATGAAAAAAAAACACAAAAACACATTATCTAAGACACTGGTAACAATGTTGACGAAAATTCATGAAAGATTTTATTATTATAAGATTACATTACTATAAGAAAGTTTTAATGAGAGACGATTTAGAATAAATCTCTCAAACCCCCTGATTGGACAAAAATCTTAGATTATTTTAGGACAAATTAGGTGTCAAGAACAAAGAATATTCCGAGTAAAGAATGAAAACACTGTTATAACTGACTACGATATGGGTACCTACTTCGAATTTACTTAAAATTATTATTGTAGCCTGGAGAAGAATGACAAGTATTCTATTCACTTAGGTTGATTAGGGCATAGAATACCTCCAAAAGCTGCTATATATTCAAATTTGGCACATAATAACTTACGAATTTTGTGTTTTTTTATTAACTTTTACTTTATGGGTACAAGTCAAAGTTGTTACCTAAACGATTGTCTGCAATAAGTGTAAGTGTAAGCCGTAAGTACGTAAGTTTCATTATCTTTTCTGCAACCACATATAGTGGGCCCAACTGTTACATAATAAAACTTTACACACCTTAAACACGACCCCATCTTTGAAAAAAATATCGAAACCCGAAAGTTTTTCCTTTAAAAGCCGAAAGCGAGGCTAGATATTAGCAAAAAGTCATTAAAAGTAAGGGCGCTTCATCATAGCGGGCTCAAAGTCGGTATTAAAGCAAGTTGGTACCTTAACTTAGAAAAGTTCATTCATTTAACGGTTGTGTGCTCACGGGCCGCGTTGAATTTCAAATTTTAACGTATATATATATATATATATATATAAATATTGTGAATGCTCTATTTTCTTTCTTAGATTATGTGATAGGTATGATGCTAAATAGTACTTATATATTTGAACTGCCGTCATGCACATTATTAGTAGCAGGTAGCAGATAACGGAGCATTACCACTCCTTTTCATGCTGTGGGTGTCGTAAGAGCCGACTAAAGGAGCAAACTATGCAGGATGACAGCACTGCATAGAGAAGGAAAACTTGAAATAAACCCTTTAAATAAAACCTTGATATTAACCGGTCTGGCCAGCGTGGTATAGTAGGCCAAAACCTCCTTTCTAAAGAGAGGCCTATGTCCAGCAGTGACCTATTAAAGGCTGTTGTGGTGGTGGTAGTAAATTACCAATAGGAGACAAGTCTGGTCGTATTCCCCCTATAGAATAAATCCTAGTTCTTCTAAAGTACCAGAATAATATTAACTCCGGTTTCTTTTAACTTTTAGAATCCCTTTTGTATTATCTATTATACCTATATTGGCCAGTAGCAAAAAGCGGTTCGAATAAATAGTGAAGTTATTTTAATGTTAGAGGGGGCAGACGAGCAGACGGGTCACCTGATGGAAAGTGACCATCGCCGTCTCAGAAGTTACAAACGCGTTGCCGGCCTTTTCGGCCGCCTTAAAGTCCGAACAACTCCTCGTAGCACTCTCCACAATATATGCGATAGAGAATGAAGAGTGAAGCCACATCTCTACGTAACGACGGGGGATCGAGCCGATCGGAGATATTTGGGCTATCAACGATAGATAAAGATAAAGATATAGAGATATAGATAAAAGATAAAGAGCGAACCTAGTAAAGGATTTCAAAACATCAATGAAACACTAAGAAAATCTTAATCCAAAATGGTATTGGTAACAATTGTGATTTTACAAAATTGTGACAACACTTTGAAATTAAAAAGTTTTCAAATAAAAGTACAAAACCAATTTACGCTCACCATTGTATGACTGAGATTTTATTTGTTAACTTTGATACTTTAATAGTAAATTATAATAACTGTTATTAAACAGTTTCTAACATTACCATAACAGTACATAAAACGATTTTCAAAAGTCCTCAAGAAAACAATAAAATTAAAGCGTTTAAAAGTAACCTTTACAGTACAATGGCAAAGTTTCTTGAAACTCTTTAATTTAGCCGAATTTTACTTGTAGGGTTTTGGTTTCCGCACCATCGGCCGCCTTTATCCTATTACTGATTATTAAATCTAACTTTTGATTTGTATTCAGAGGGTTTAAATTTCATTTTGGGCTAAACTTCGCTAATGTTTAAACCTCTGTCGGTATTATTTCGTTATAATTAACATTTTAGTTGAGTTTTGTGGCGATTTTGCTTTTAAGAACTTTAAGGTTTATGTTTTGGCGTTAAATGATCATATCTGAAGTTAAAATGACTACGAGGGAATTAGAAAGTGAATTCTTATTTGATTTTCGGGTTGTAAATTAATCATACTATTAGTGATTTGTGGCAGGCATTAAATCTCGGGAACACACAAATACTCCGAAATATTTTATTCCGAATTTCGATGTTCCGATTTTCAAAAGTCCAAATTTTATAAGACATAATAATTA